TATTCCTTCCTTCCTTCCTTCCTTCCTTCCTTCCTTCCTTCCTTCCTTCCCTCCCTCCCTCCCTCCATGGTGCACAGTAGTTAGAATGCAGTATTGCAGACTAATTCTGCCCACAGCCAGGAGTTCGATCCCGACTGGCTCAAGGTTGACTCCACTTTTCATGCTTCCAAGGTCGGTAAAATGAGAACCAAGATTGTTGGGGGCAAATAGGCTGACTGTAAACCACTTAGAGAGGGCTGTAAAGCACTGTGAAGAGGTATATATTGTCTGTCTGTCCGTCCTTCCTTCCTTTCTTGCTCCATCCATCCATCCATGGTGCACAGTGGTAAAACAATATTCCAGGCTAATTCTGCTGCTGCCAGCAGTTCGATTCTCAGCAGCTCAAGATTGACTCAACCTTCCGTCCTTCTGAGGTGGGTAAAATGAGGACCCAGTCTGTTGGGGGCAAATGGCTTATTCTGTAAACCACTTAGAGAAGGCTGTAAAGCACTGTGAGTGTGGCTACCTTGACAGATCGCTCACCTGGCAAGGTTCTCCGTGACCCTCCTCAAGGCTTCTTGTTTCTTGGATCTGTTTTTAGCAGCTGCCTCGTTGGCCATCTTAAGCCCCAGCCTCTCTCGGCGCCCGGGTTCCAGGATCTGTGAAAATACCAGCTGGTTGGAATCTGATCCTTCTGACCATAATCACTCCTTACCCTTTTCTCACTGGCTGAGAAAGCCAATGTTCTGACCAAGGCTTCCCAAGAGCACGAAGCAAATTCCATGTCCCAACAAAAAACCCTTTTATGAATTGACTGTGAATTCTGCTCATTCCCATCCAGAAAAGTCTTTCAAGGAGGATTTACAGTCACAGACCTTATCTGGCTTGGAGAGCTGCCAGGCCGATATCTGCAAAACCTGGCAAGGAGTCTCGGAGTCATGAACCAATTAAGTGAACTAGTTGTCTCTCCTGCAAACTCCCCTCCCCTTCCGCTCCTCTTTTAGTCCCTCTGAGAGGGGCCATTCATTGTCCACCTGTGGCCTTACTCCCAAGTCAACCCCTGTTCTTTAGTTCTTCCCTTCGTCTGGCNTAGTTATTCTTTTTCTTTCTCTCCTACTCCTACCCTCCCTTTCCCTTCCTGCCCTCTCTCCTTCTCTTTCTCTCCCTTCCACCCACCTCTCCTTACCTCTTTCTTCTTCTTCCCTTACCTCTCCTCCACTCTTCCTCTTCCCTTCCTACTATCTCTCCTTCTCTTTCTCTCCCTTCCACCCTCTATTCTATTCTATCCTATCCTTATTCTATCCCTAGTCTATATTCTATTCTAGTCTATTCTATCCTATCTTTATTTTATCCTATCTCTATTCTATTTCTATATATTCTATTCTATATTCTATTCTAACACGATAAAAAGGTTAAACCAGGAAAAAAAAAAACCAACTGTCTCGCTTAGCTATGTAAATTTTGGGCACAGTGGTGGTCGTAAGTCGAGGACCAGCCGCAACAGTAAAGCCAGGGGGATATTAGCAAACTATGCATTTGCATAAGAGATTAAAGAGATGGAATGTGAGGCTTTTTTCATGGGTAATATTTTAATTTTCTCCTCTTTTTCCTCCTCCCTCTCCGGCCTCCGCACGACGACCCTGCGAGGTAGGCCAGGGGGAGAGGAGAAAAAGACCTCTGGGCCCCCAATCAGGCGGGAAAGCGCCCGAGGGCCGAGAGGCGACGGGCAGTCGGGTCCCCTCGAAGGCCTACTCGGCGTCGTCCCCTCACCTGAATGTAGGAATCCTCGTCCAGGACCCTCTTAGGGCACTTGGGGGCTTCCTGAGGCGCCTCCTTCCGCAGAGCTACGGCGGAAGCCTCGGTCTGGACGGGCACTAGCGCCTGGGCCGAAGCGCCGCACCCGGCCGGGCTCCCCGCAGGCTCCATGACGCCCCACGAATCGTCTCCCGGGGCAACGCAAGCGAGGCCTGGGCCGCCACGGGCTCTCACTTCCGGAAATACGGCCACTTCCGGGGACGCACCGGAAGCGCTTCCCCGTATGCCGTCCCGGCGTGCGCACCCAAGGCCACGCCCCCCAAAGGTGTGGCAAAGGGAGCATGGGAACGCCTCCTCCTGACGTCAGTCCGCCCGTGGTGTATAGAGGTAAAGCGAAGAGGCAGCACGCGATCGATTCGGGTTCTGTTCGCAGCTGCAGCGGGCAAGGAAGGTGTTGAGTGGCTCGGGAGCGACCGGCCCAGTATACTCTGCAGAGTCGTCGTTGAGCTGATCTTAGACTCAGACCCCCTAATTTCACCCCTTCCTCCCCACCCCTCCAAAAAATCCAAGTGGATATGTGAAAGGGAGGGATTTGCACCTCTGCGACCACTATGCTTCTCTTATAGTATAGTCTTAATTGTCATTGTACAAAATTAATACAACGAAATTGGTTATTGATTGATTTCTATTTCTATCTTTGCAAAATTTGCATTGTTAGGAATCTTGGGATCAGCGAGTGCAAAACCTTCCCTGAGCTACTTTGCATATTGCGTTGTGTTGTGGTGCTGTCAATATTACATTTTTTGCATTTTACACACCCCAATCGACATCTAAAAAGCCACAAACAGCAGGCACTATAAATCATCTTATTTTAGTGACCCCATAATCCCTTGCGGGGTGAAGTCTAGGCAACAGAATTGAGCTGAGTGTTTTAATGGCTGGATGCCCTTCCTGTCGCCAATGCAGAGGTGTTTTTTTCAGCAGATATATTCTCAGTGTGCCCAGAGAAAGAAATATCTGCCTCTACCTAGGATTGAACCCACAGCCTCCTGATAGTGAGGCGAAAGGTCTCCCTCTAAGCCACCATGCCACTCACAACAGGCACTATAAATGCCACAAATAAAAAACAGCACACAGTCTGCTAGAGAGAAGATCCCTGAGGATGGGCTCCAGCACAAATCTGAAAGTTCGGAAAACAAAACCTCGGACTGACCCCAATTGGATGCTGTAAAATCATTAGAATAGAATAGAATACAATAAATAGAATAGAATAGAATAGAATAGAATAACAGAGTTGGAAGGGACCTTGAAGGTCTTCTAGTCCAACCCCCCACCTAGGCAGGAAACCCTACACCACTTCAGACAAATGGATTTGCAATCTGTTCTTAAAGACTTCCAGTGTTGGAGCATTTATAACTTCTGGAGGCAGGTTCTTCCACTGATTAATTGTTCTGTCAGGAAATTCCTCCTCAATTCTAAGTTGCTTCTCTCCTTGATTAGTTTCCCTCCATTGCTTCTTGTTCTACCCTCAAGTGCTTTGGAGAATAGCTTGACTCCCTCTTCTTTGGGGCAGCCCCTGAGATATTGGAAGACTACTATCCTGTCTCCCCACCCACCCACCCACCCACCCA